TGACCCTAATCTAAAAGTTAAAATATTATTTTTATAGTTTTTGTATATAAAGTGTGGAATAATGGATAGCGACTCGAATTGAGGAACCAGAGAGCAGTGTTTGAATTCAAGTTGAGTTCATTACATTCACTTACATGCAAATAACGTTGGGAAAAATATCAATCTATCTCTTCTCCCCACCAGCTTTGTTTTTCTTTTACACAATTATGTTCACCCTGTACAAAGCTTGAAGGTCACTCGAGGTAGATGATGGTTAAATAGCAGGAGAGAACGGGTCCTATAGCCTTGGCTGGCAAATGATCTATGAGAAGGACAACTCTGAATTCAAAAACTTCAATTATGGGTTAAATAGCCTCACAAACCCACAATTGGTCAAGCATGATGAGTACATCCATACCTCTGTAGAGATAGTTAATCAGGGAGGGGTTCCTCCAGTAAGAGTGGAAGGATTTGTATATAATTACTGCAAAATTAAACATGAAAACTACGCTTTAAAAAGAAGTTTTCTTGTTTTTTTACTCATTTGGTGTGCATGTTTCTTCAGACTTTTCCCATTGTTTACTGCTTAATACTATTATGTTTAAAACTACTACTTGGATGACAAAAATAGGATGAAAATGAAACTGAATGTAGTTGGCCCTGATCTGGTATCTTGTCTGCAGTCGCTCTCTCACAGACATGCCCTTTCCTCCCTCTGTCTTTTCTACAAATACTTTCATGGTCACTGCTTTTCTGAGATACTTTCGCTAGTTCCTAAACCACATGAATTGAAATGTGCTACTGGGTTGGCATCTCAGTCCCACCCTTTCACTGTTGAAACTGTTAAATGTAGCTGTCTCTTCTACTCCAATAGCTTCATGTCTTGCACTTCCCGTCTTTTACTTGCTTCCCAGATAGCTATAATCTCCAACTATTCAAATGCAATGTTAATTGACATCTTCAGATGCCTTGATCTATTCCCCATCCTTCTCTTCATCCTTTTCTTTATTACATCTCTTTACTCTTGCTTCCATTCTCTGTAACCCCTTGCGTGGTAGTGTGGCACCATTTACGAGGCAGAGAAAGAAAGAGAAAGAAAGGAAGGCAGAAAGAAAGGCGAGACGAATCGTAGGTGATAAAACAGCCACACACATGGCCTAAGAGACAATGAAAATATTGATAAGTAACAAGTGAAAAAGCGTGTCATTACAATGACAGGGAATTTCTGAGTAAAAAAAGAAAAGGAAAAGAAAGAAGGAACCAGATGTGTTTTGATAACGGCTATGTTATCTAGGTGCGTACACGAATGGCTGGACCACTGCCCAGGAAAAATTCAAGTGAAAATGCTATTTTGATAAGTGATGAGAAACAGGACACTAAAAAGAACTTTGGACAGATATGAAAATTAAATGCCACCCAGGCAGTGCAGCTGACTGAATTCTTTTCGACGAAACAATGTTGCCCTGCGATAATAAAATTATGTTATCAGACATATGTACCGAAGGAAAATGAATGGGAACCAGAAGTGTTTTTATTTCTTCCTTGGAGGCGACAGACTGACTGAAAATTTTGGGGATATTTCTTTTCTGAACCCATATTACGAAAACCAACCATCTCGATAAATTAGCGTCATATTGTCCATTCGTGGCTAGAGAAATGATAACGGCGATTTGAAAGGAAGAAAAAGGAAAGAGAAGAGATAATTAATTTTTTTTTTTTAGTTAAGCAAGGTATTTTTTTTTCCCCGAAACAAAGCTGTGGATTGTTCACGCCTGACTAAGACATCATTGGTCAGGTGGTGATCACATGACGCACAAAGGAGGAGGAAAGATACCCGACCAAGACCTCATTGGCCGAGAGTGATCACGTGACGCACGAAGAAGGCTGTCAACGCCCCATCCAGAGTATGAGTATGAGAAGCTCCAACGAAGAAGTGGGGAGGGTAGTTCACGCCCCTCAGAGGTATGGTGAGAAAGTGGGAGTGAGGAGGGGGTTACCAAAAATGGAAAAGAGTGGAAAATCCCTAACCAGAAATAAAAGAGGTGGATATGTGTTTAGAATTATCGAGAAACCCCCGACGCCAACAGAACCACCCCGGTTTTGGCCAAGCGTCAATAAAAACGAGGCCCCAACAGGCAGAAATCAGTTTGGGCCCTGGCGGCAGAGTTGAGTTTCTAGAGTTGAAGCCGCCGAGATAGCTGACCAAGATTCACGCAAAAAATTCGGACTCCTCTTCAACCCAAAAACAATTATTTTGAAGAGCGACTTAGAACCAGACCACCGAAATAAGTTTTTCGACTTTCGTCCAAAGACACACTGAAACACCAATTTCTTAGAGAGCAAACAACTTGAAGCATTAAAACTTGCCTAGCGGAAACAACGTGTCACAATCCACAGAACGGGTCGGGAGATAGATGCAGTCCTATGTATCAAACAACTAGACATAAAGTTTGTTACCTTTTTCTTTGATACTTTGAACTTTTTGAGTTTTCATTTTATTTTCTTTTATGCATATTTGTGTGTTATCACCCCCGTTGAACTCAGTTTGCATTACGGCCCCAACCACTGTTTAATCTCGTCTGTCTAAGATCAATTCACAACGTGGGTAGGCAGACTGGAGATCAATGCAGTTACCTTGGTAACCAGGCGTTGGAAGCGAAGTTGGGAACGACGAGGCTGATATCAAATCTAACCAGATTCCCACCCGAATCACCAAGAGGTTAGAACGTCACATTTGGGTGCCGCGACCGATACCAAGCCAGTTGGTCGTCACAGGACGAGACAACACGACTGATGCGACAGGCAGACGTCACGTTTGGAGCAGCGACACCCAAACAGAGCAGCGAGGAGTGAACAGCTGGCGCCGCGGCGAAGACGTCACAATTGGTGCTGTTTAGGGACGTCACAACTGGTGTCGTGACCGGGATAGGACCCTGGAACGGCCACGTCACAACTGGCGCTGTGGTAGATCAGGATAGAACGTCACAGTTGGCGCTGTGACCGGGGGATGACGTCACAGTAGTGGCACTCCTGTCTTGCTTGGGGTGAAATGTTTAAAAAAAAAAAAAAAAATCATTAAATTTGACATCTAAGTTTAGAAAATCTTTAATAATGGTGTATTTGTATGCTTTGTCAAACTTTCTAACTTATATTACAAAAGAAGAGCGGATTCTCTGTCCATCACACATTGTATGTGTGTGACTGTATGTCTGTATATGTTTATGTCTGTGTTATGCATGAATGACATGTGCCATTTAATTTGTACACAAGCACATGTACACACAAACACACACAATTGGACTAATCCTGAAATAAGACATTGGAAATAATAAATTCTCCTCCCACTTCAGTCTGGACAAACCCTACTCTGTGCTGAGCAATAAAGCCATAAAGTTGTACATACAAAAAAAAAAAAAGGAAAAACAAGGTTGAATTTAAAAAAAAAATTTCAGTAATAAATAAATTTATTTTTAAAACATTGTAACATAGCTTCTATCTTTTCTATAAATATTTTCAGGAGTTACTTTCCCACTGTTGTGACATAGCTTCTATCTTTTCTATAAATATTTTCAGGGCCATTTTTTCTGATGAGCTTTCCTCCTTGGTGGTTTGATTGCATGAATTTGAGTGTACTACTAGGTTAGCAACTAGGTCTCACCATTTTACTATTAAACTAGTTACAGGTAACTGTATGTTCTATTCCATTAGTTTCTTTTCTTGCACTTCTCACCTACAGTGTTCTTTTGCAGTTTCTTGTTTCCCTGTCGCCTATGTTCTTCAAACATTTAAATCCAACACCAATCACCATCTGTCTTCCTAAAACCCATTTTATTATTGTCCTTTCTCTTCACTAAAGTTTTTCATTCTCTTTCAATCTCAGTAACCCCTTGCATTTTAGTAGCATTTTTTGCCTCACTTGGGTGTAATTAAGAAAAAATGTCATTGAATTAATATATACATGTGCATACATCAATGTGCATACATGTGCACACATTAGTGTGCATGCATGTTCAATTTGAATAAAACTGAAATGGACATCTGTTTTGCCAAGACTAATTTCACTGTCTGGCAATAACCCATGGTCAACAAGAAAAACATAAATCCAAAATGTTTTGCCCTTTGAAGACATTTTTATGACTCTTGTATTTAAACTGAAGATATTTTTTTAATAAATGCAGTACTTTAAACGGACAAACAATTTATACTTAAAATTTGATCATCTTGCCCTTTGTAAAGAGAAACTAACTAATAAGTAGAAAAATTAAATTATAAATTTATAAAGTCTTTCATCACAGCTCTGGGTAAAATTTACAAGTTTTCTTAAATATGCTTTTAAGAAACTTTTTAAAGCCTTCAACAACTTAATAATGTTATTTGATAAAATTAAGCCAGTTGGAGGCCTGGTGGAGTAATGGATAGCAGCTCAGATTGAGGAATCAGACAGCCAAATTTGAATTCCAGTCTGATCCATGACATTCACTTACATGCTAATACCCTTGGGAAAGATGAATCCTCCTCTTCTCACTCCAGCTATGAGTAAATAGCATGACAAACTTGGTGCTATAGCCTTGTGTGGCAACTGGTCTATGAGAAGAAAAACTCTGAATTCAAACAGGCTTGGAGAGGGCTAGGCTTTGTCAGGCTATCTTGTTCCAAAACACCACTTCTACAGCAGCTGTGGTGCATATAGTACCACTACAACCCTAAGGGGTCACAAGATACGTGATCATGAAGCAAGTTCAAGGTGATTTGGGGAAAATGTTTGACATGCAGTGTTCATTGTTACTGAATGAGAAAATCTGAATGACAGTACCGGAGAGAAGTAGTAAAACTGCAATCAATTGGAAGAAAACAAACATCATTGTGGAACACGTCAAAGAATTGGATGACATGTCGGATGACATGAAAAATAAAAAATGAAAATGATGTGTTCTTTCAGTCGGAAATTGCATTCTTCAGTGGAACATCATAAGGACAAATGCTATCATGTTTTCATCTGTTAAAATTGTTAAGTAGTTAGTTTAGAAAAAGTAAGAGAAGAAACAAACTAAAAGAAGATGAGGAAGAAAGATTAGGAGAAATGAAGTAGGTGAAGGAAGATACAAAGAGAATTGAAAAAAAGAAAAAATGTGATAGAGGTGGAGAGAAAGAGAGAAGGATAAAGAGAAGAAGCAAAGAAAGCAAAAGAAGGTAGAAGGGAAATGGAGAGAAGAAATGAAGCAAAAGAAAAGGTTAGGATAGAAAGAAAATGAATAAATATGCAAAAAAAAAAAAGGCATGTAGAGGGAGAGAGTGGGGAAGGAGCAGGAGGTGAAGAAATGAGGAAAATAAAGCAAATAGAAAGGAATAAAGAAGAAAGGCAGGTAAAGAAGGGACAAAGATGAAGAAAGTAAACAAGAAGAAAAAGGATTGGCAAAGAGAGAGAGAGAGGAGTGGAAAGCAAGAAAAAGGATGAGAAGAGCGAGTAGAGCCAGGCAAAGGGAGAAGAAGAAAGAGGACGGAAAGAGGGAGAAGGAGAAAGAGGATGGGAAGAGGGAGAAGGAGAAAGAGGACGAGAAGAGGGAGAAGAAGAAAGAGGATGGAGAAAAAAGGGAGAAGAAAGAGGACGAGAAGAGGGAGAAGAAGAAAGAGAACAGGAAGAGGGAGAAGAAGAAAGAGAACAGGAAGAGGGAGAAGAAGAAAGAGAACAGGAAGAGGGAGAAGAAGAAAGAGAACAGGAAGAGGGAGAAGAAGAAAGCGGATGGAGAAAAAAGGGAGAAGAAAAAGGAGGTTATAAAAGGGAGAAGAAGAAAGCGGATGGGATAAAAGGGAGGAGGAGGAAAAAGACAGGGGAAAAAAGGGAGAAGGAGAAAGAGGACTGAAAAAAAGGGAGAAGGAGAAAGAGGACTGGAAAAAAGGGAGAAGGAGAAAGAGGACTGGAAAAAAGGGAGAAGGAGAAAGAGGACTGGAAAAAAGGGAGAAGGAGAAAGAGGACAGGAAAAAAGGGAGAATGGGAAAGATGACTGGAAAAAAGGGAGAAGGAGAAAGAGGACAGGAAAAAAGGGAGAAGGAGAAAGAGGACTGGAAAGAAGGGAGAAGGAGAAAGAGGACTGGAAAGAAGGGAGGAGGAGAAAGAAGACTGGAAAAAAGGGTGGACAGACGAGGGGGGATGAATATGGAAGAATAGAGACAATGCAGAGGACTTAGAAATGTCGAAATAGTCAAGTACATAGGAAGAAAAATATTAAAAAAAAAAAGAATTGTTAAGTAAAAGAAAAAAATTCAATGAACACTGACAATGTCTTTTGGATACTTTAACAAGTGGGCAACATTTGAATAGGTGTTTGCTGACAATGTATTCATTTTCTGAAGCTCAGCATGGATCTTTCAATGGCCTTTGATACCAAGGAAATTATTTAAAAGAAAAACTGTATTGCAGAACCCATAGAAATATGGAAACAGGATCTATATTTGCCATTTCACAAAAGCACCAAATGTTTCGTGATGAATGGAATTGGAAACACAGAAAAGTGATCCAAGTATGAAGTAGCCTATCAAGGAATAAATATTATTTGAAAAGTTGATAATGATCATGTAACTTTAATAAAAGAACTGTAAGCAATTCCTAAGGGAGTCTGCTACAGAAGTACACTGATCGCCTGATGATTGGGTGAGAACAAATGAAACTTTTAGTTGTGGTTGGCCACTATTCCCTGGGAATATATATGTATGTCATTCGCAGACAGTACTGTTTTGCTGTATCACAGCTCCTGAGTGCAACTAGACATCTGAATGCCTCAAGCCAGGACTGAAACGCGGCCGATTTGGTGTCAGTCAGATTTTCTACCACTAAGCCATCATCACTTCGTAGAGAGAAACAGCTAATTCTAGCATATTATTTTTACAAATGTAAATAAATGCCAATCAGTCAGAATGCTCCAATTCATTTTACTGAAGAGCTTTGCATTAGCACAGATGGCTGTTGTTTATAGAATCGGCCTATCTCTCAACAGTGCTCAATTGAAATATATTTTCAAGAGCTCAATTTTATATATATATATATATATATATATATATATGTGTGTGTGTGTGTGTGTGTATATATATATATATATATGTGTGTGTGTGTGTATATATATATATATGTGTGTGTGTGTGTATATATATTTGCAAATAGGAAATAAATGACTTAAATCCAAGAGAATGACTAAATAAGTAGCAAATAGGAAAATGTTTATAAATTTAACTATTAAATACTATTAAACAATTTGATAGAAATCAATTTTTGAAGATTTCAATTGTTCTTCCCTGAGACTGGTTGCCAGTCAAGGCTAAAGAGTCCAGTTTGTCCTACTGTTTAAACCATTATTATTTAAAACACTAGCATATATATATAAGTTGATGAGTGGAAAAAAATCTTATTTTTTGCCGATTCATTTCATCTTCCGACTTTTTCAAGGCAAAAATGAAACTGAAATGTTTTTGTTATTATAGTTACATTACAAAATAATAATTATAACAACAAAAACATTTCAATTTCATTTTTGCCTTGAAAATGTCGGAAGACGAAATGCATCAGCAAAAAAATCAGATCATCTTACAGCAATTGGTCTACTATTTACATTATTTGGACTATTGGCCTCATCTTTGTTGCCATATTTATCACAACATTTTGGCCATTGTATGCTCTGGCCTTCTTCAGGTGGTTGGAATGTCAAACTGAACACTTTATTTCACACTAGTTTCATGTGCCATGTCTAATGGATGTCAGTTATTTCCTGTTAATTCACGAGTTCTCCACTGCCTTAACCAGGTATTGAACTCACACTCTTTGGATCCTGTCTTTATCCACTGTGCCATGTGTCCTTGAGGATATCTGTGTATGAATTTCTGAGTATTATAAACCTAATGTCTTCAGCAACCTTTTTTACCAGTGCTCATATTGCAATTTTTGCTGTTATCATTGTATGTTTTTACCAGAGCTCATATTGCAATTCATACACAGATGTCCACAAGAAATAAAGTGTCTCTGCCAACACTTGAGTTTGAACATAGATTACCAGTGAGCAAACACAGGCAATTCCATTATTGAATTAAGCATACCATGTGAACAAGAGGAAAAAAATATATAGGAAGTCGTATGACATCTAGATGATCTCTATTTCTAGTCTATCCTCTATTACTATACAGATCACCATTTCTATTCTATCCTCTATTACTATACAGACCACTATTCTCTACTCTATTCCCTATACTATTTCTCTATATGGATTACTATTTAGATCACTATACAGTGTCTACTATTCGAGTGAATATTATTGAGCAAGTACTATTAATGTGAATGTTATTTGAAGGTGTCTGACACTAGTATTGTTCAATAGTGTTACCATAGTTGTATCTGCGAGTACAAAGTCTCTACTACAACGAGCATTACGAAAGTGACAACAAGTGTTTGTTGATATCACAAAAAAATCAATTCTATATTACAACCAATATATAAACTGATCCCTCACTTTGTAGCCACGGTAGTTTCTATACATTTATATTCTAGACAATGTAAATAAAACTAGAAGACATGCCTGTGAAGCTGACCAGTATTACATTGAATGATTTAGTTTCTATAGCTTAACCCTTTGCAGGTTATTTAAAGCCAGAAAATATATTTAGATTTTAAGAATTTTTTTTTGAAGATAACAGTTTTAGTGATACAAGTTTTACTAATTAACCCATAGCTGGGGGGAGAAGTAGTACATTCATACTTTTTTCAAGAGTATTTTGTGTGACCATGAATATAAAGAACCCAATGGGAATTTGAACTCTCTTCTTAAAAATTCCAAGCCATTATCCATTATACCACTTACACATCCAAGCTTACAGCACATGGTATTTCCAAGTGGTTACCCTTCTAGGTACTGAATAGGCTTGTCCTTACTTAACTGTGGTGATCATACAGGAACCAGTGTTTCAATGTGTGGATGTAAACCTCAACGTTTTTTTGAGAGAGACCTGACAGAAATTGATACTGATAAGTGAATATAATGAACACAATGGGAATTTGAACTTGGCTCTTTGATTAACAATTCCAAGCCATTACCCATTACACCACCTGCACATCCAAGCTTACAGCACCTGTTATTCCCAAGTGTTCAGCCACCTAAGTACTCACCAAGCTCAACTTTTGGTGATTGTACGGGAACCAATGTTACAACGTGATATGGCTGTAAGCTTGATGTGTTCAGGGTAAAGTTAAATCACCTGTGATACTTTATATAGCAACTTATTTTACTAATTTTCCTTGGATCCATAAAAATAGAAATGAAAAGAAAGGTCAATGTCAGGTGAGAACCACCAGCAAACAGATATCTAATCTAAAAATGGCTAAAACTTTGTAAACTGCATCAAGCCAGATGAAAGAGCTTTGGCGTGTCAGTAGTAGGATTTCAGAAGACTAAGCTTGATTAGATTTCAACTGATAACAGAAACAATCAAAATCTTCAAAAGAAGGAGAGATAAAAACCGGGGTTGATTGAGACAGTAAATCACCTGGAGTTGACATGGCAAATCCGGCAGAGAACAAACCAAAGTCAAAAATAAAAATCTAAGATCCATATGGATAGGGAGGGTGCTACTAACCTACAACTACTACCACTGATAATGTTATTCTCCTGCAACCTTACTATCATTGTGTCAAAAAATATATAAAGATGTGAAATTTGTGTATTATGTGGTATAAGAAAACAGCCATAGATTACAATAAGATTTTTAAGTTATAATTTTGTCAGTGATGAAGTCAGTTCTGAGAATAAATGACAGAATCAACAATTAAGTGTATTGAGCTGCTCCTTTTAGGTGCTGTGTCTCTTCAGGATGTGGGCCAGTGGTTTTCAAATGCTGCAGTGCACCTCATAAGCACAGTGAAATGATTAAAAGACAGTCAAAGATTTAGAAACAATTTCAAAATTTAATCTAAAATTAATATGATTTTAAAATTTAAAATATTATTGTGGATTACTTGTAATTGCATGCATGAGTCCCAGTATAAATAATTGAAAATAATTATTGACCAATTTTATCATTGTGATATTTTTACATTATATCAAGTTTTAAGAATATACTAATTAGGGTCTGCAAATTGGAAGAGAGAGTTATCAATGATAATTCTCTGACTTCGAATCTGTTGTTATCTATCTTTAACCCTCTGTTTTTTATTTTTAAATGTACTTTTTATCATATAAAATTTTAATTATGAAAGTATGGTCCAGAAATAAAAATTATGGAAACCACTGATGTGGGTGATCATGGTTCTCTCCTTTGTGGCCCTTAGTAAAATTTCTCCTTTTGCTATATCTCCTAATCCCTGTCCTAGCACCTATTTACATAACCTCATTAGGTAGGTTATGCATTATATTTCTTTGTCCCTCTTGCTTTTGATATGCCTTGTGAGTGTCAAATTTTCCAAGCACTCTTTCCTTGTTATATGTCTTAGAAATTTCAGCAGTCTCTGTCTGATGCTACATATACGTATCCTTTCTGTTTCTATTTTTTCTAAAACTTCATTAGTCATGTGTTGATTTTGCAACATAAAAATATTTGCCTGAATTTCTGTAATGTGGAGTTATGATTATTTACATTAATATATAATAGCTAATTTGTTCTTTATCTTATCATTAACTAATAGCCTCATTTTTGTTGTTATCTCATAACAAAGATAAGGACATTAGTCACAATGGAAATAATGAAGCAATTTATTTTCTTTTTATACTGAACAATAAAGAGTGTGAGACTCGCTTACACAAGGAGGTTCCAAACTAGTGTCCAGTTGGCTGACAAAAATAAACAGGGTTGTAACTCAATACATTTCCCTCTCTTGAATAGTCACAGTACTTTTGGATATTTATTGAGCACAAAATCCACACTGGAATAATCAGCCAATCAGAACTTACAGAATAGACCTACCCGGGTAACAGAATGGAATCTCCGAGGCTGTTATATAAACCATGTACCAATTTGCCCAGTTGAGTACTGTCTGTTGCTATTACCAAATTCTACATGCCTCAATAACTTTATGCAAGGGCAACTAGGATTTCCAAAAGGAAACGTGTTATTGTATTCCTTCTTCTTCATGAACTACTTGGAGGGACTAAGTTCATATGGTCTAATTGGACCTGTACCTCCTCCTGGCAGAGCAAGAAGTATCATTCATGTTGTTGGTTCAAATTCTTTAGAAATAC